AATATGACAAAATTAAATAATTTAAATATTAATAACAATAAAGATAATAATAACAATTTTTGGGGGACTATAAGAGCTAACCTTCTCGTGGTGTCTCCTGGATAACGCCAATAGGCTCTAAAAAATAAAATGTAAAATAAATATATAAAGATAAGTAAATAAATAAAATAAGATTTTAAAAGTATTTTGTAATGAATGACCAAATATGTTAATATAATATGACAAAATGAAATTATTAAAATATAAAAAATGTGTACCTAAACGTAGTATTAATTTTAAAATATTATGTGCCCAAACGTTGTATTGAAATTTGGGGTCTGAAAAAAGTGTACCTAAACGTGTGTTCCCAATCGTTCTCCCGAATCTCAGGTAAAAAATTCGTTGTGTGTCCAAACGTTTTACTGCCTTCTCTAGCACATTGCACATACATGCACATACACTCATATAACCATAGGTTAGTTCATACATACTTGGATAGTCACATATTATATACATACGCATATTTGTATAATATTCTGAGCAACTTTTTACAGGGAAGTTTCATAAGTTAAGCTAGCATTTCTACATGTTCCACCGTGTAACACAACATTTTAAAAAGTATTATTACATTCATTATAACAAACATCTAAACATACTATAAAACTTTCATATTATTCTATTATATATACTCATTTATTTTCCAAAGGAGAAAATTCTTTTGAATGTGGGTATGTCAAAAGTTTTAATTACATACCTGATGTAGGTATACTTAGTGGTCAAGTGCACGCAAGTATGAAAAATAAATTGTATGATGTTAAGGTAAATAACTTTGTAATTTTGATTGTATCATTTATAATATGATTAATAAAATTATTGTAATATTTAATCTTTACAGATATTTTTCAAAGATAAAAAATATTGAACATGCCAGCTGTACATGTCCGACAGGTTTGACAAAATGCCATCATATGGTTTCACTTCTTTTACATGGGCATAGTAATATATCTGTAACTGATATATCATGCAGCTGGTCAAAAAAATCTGTAAGAGAAAATGATGAAGTACAGTAGAACCTCGATTATCCGTGACTCGATTATCCGTTTTCGCGATTTACCGTGCTCACTCTTCCGAAAATTTAAAATTAATTATTATTTTAATTTTGTTTTTTCGATATATCCATATTTTGCCATTTTTTGCCATCCCTAGTGGTAATAATGTTTTCGTTTACTTTATAATCACGATAATAACATCAACAGTCAATAATAAAAATATCATAATATTTAATCAAATAATTTCGAAAAGGACTCATATCACAGAGATATCACAATTATATTCTTAAAAATTATAACGTAGTCAAAAAGATCGAGGTGCGACGAAAGACGTAATATACACTAATGCGACTAACGAATAAGATTGTACCTGTGTATTTCTAATTATAGTTAAATAAAAAATGTCATTATTATAAAAAGTCTCGATTAACCGTGGTTTTCATTTATCCGTGTGACCCCCTCCCCACCATTACCCCGGATAATTGAGGTTCCACTGTATTGACTATTGATGATATGTATGAAAATAATTTTAAAGCTGTTACTGATACACACAATATTGATTTTAAAGCTTTATTCTTTGATAAATTAACAGCAACTAATCAAACAGTTGGATTTTTATGGTTTTTAAGTCCAGAACCTCCAGTTGAAGATTTAAGTGATATTCTTCTATTGGAAAATGTTCTTAATTCTTCAGAATTTAGAAATTCTAAAAATAGTGTTCAAATGTTGTCTGACATTTGTAAGTTATCTTTTGAACAGGTTAAAGATATAGCTTCAAAGACCATCTGCAAATGTAAAATGGCGTCTTTCTAGGAAATTTCGTCTTACTTCGAGTAATTTTCATAAAATAATAAAATCAGTCAAAAGTAATCGATATCCTAATTCACTTTTTAAAGGTGTCTTAGGAAAATATTTTGTGGATGGAGTTAAATCGATTGAATGGGGGAAAACACATGAAAGTATTGCAATTGAAGAGTTTGAGAAGGCTAACAATTCTATTGTGACTAAAACTGGCATTTGGTTACATGAATCTGGATTTTTGGGAGCCAGTCCAGATGGTTTGCTTTTCGATGAAAACTCTTCTTATTGCATTGAAGTTAAGTGTCCTTATAAATTTCGGAATGAAGACTTAAAAATTGCGCTTTCAAATTCAAAAGATTACATCATTAATTTTGATATAAATAAAAATGATTTCGTTTTAAATTCCAACCATGAATATTATGACCAAATACAAGGTCAAATGCACATGACAAAAATGTCATCTGCAATTCTTATTATATGGACTACTAAATCTTTAGTTGCTTTCAAAATGTATAAAGATCTAAATTGGTCATCAAATATTGATATTTTATTAAATTGTTACCATCATAAATTCATACCTTATATTTTACGCTGTGTCTAGAGCGCCGGGCGCCGGTTACACTGTAGAGCGCCGGTCACACCGTAAATATGAAAATATGATAATACTACAGCACAATTATAATTCGTGAGTTGTTGGGACTTTTTTCTTTTTTCTGTATAATGTAGTTACTGTAGTAGTATCACTATCGGAGACAACGACCTCAACATTTTGAAAAACCCTTTGAGTTTTATAATAATAATTTCTCGTCCATCTTTTTTCGCACAAATCAGGATCAAATAAAGGTGTCAGTGATTGTTTTCGTACCTTAAAAATATGACGACACGGAAGTCTCATTGAGTTGTAGAAAATACAACTGCATGTATTCTCAGTTGTATTTTTAGTAATACTTTCTTCGTCACACTCAAACTGTTTTTTTTAAAAAATTGTTTGCATAAGGTGTTAACAAATCATAATACTTATGCATTTCAGGAGTTTGAGACATTTGAATTGGGTGTTTTTGAACCAACTTCACAGCATTTTTATCGCGTTCTAATCTAATGCATTTGAGAACAATGAATAATTTTTCTACAAAATTTTCTAAAGTAGAAAAACAGGAAATAACAGATTTTAGTTTCCCGTTGAAACTCTCCAATCTATTATTAGTTTTATTCATAAAATTTCCTGTCATGTATGTCATGCCTATCACCCATTCATCCCTTATTAAATGCCAGTTTTTATTGTAATATTCCATGACTGTTTCTGGTGCTATAGTATTCAAGTGTTAGTATAAATTATTATATTCCATTTCTGATTTACAATAAACAATACTTTGAATTACTTCTTTTACCGTGTCCCTTTCATTGGGAGTGATATTTCGCTTATCACAGGTAATTTCCCTGTTAAATGTTCTCAAAGTATGAAATAAACATATTGTAAGTGCGCTATTAGGAAAAACTTGCTTTATAACATTTCTTTCCTTCATGTCTTTGTCGGTTACATACATCCGAGTTTGAGCCGAAATTGGGTTTTTTTTTTAAAGTTTCAAAAAACCAGCGCAGGGTAACTTCTTCCTCGTTCACTAATAAGCCAATTTCTGCAATTTCGCTCTGTCCGTTGACATCCTCCGTCATTAATACATAAACTGGCAGTCTTAAGTCGAGTAATTTATAAGTAGCATCTGCACTGAAGACCGCCAAAACAAAGCTTAGGGCAAGCAAATGGCTCAAAAAGAAAAACAACAAATTATTATATATATAAGTACTAGGTCTGGCTATTAAATAACGAGACTGGTTACGAAAAAGGGTTTTATTATAAAAATTATTCTACATTCGAATGCTCCCCTTCAATATACTCCCCTCCCCTCGCAACACACCTTTCCATACGTTTTTTCCATTGATCGAAACAATGCTGGAAGTCTTCTTTGGTGAGGGCCTTTAGGAGCTCTGCCGTTTTTTGCTTTACCGCTTCCATCGACTCAAATCGGGTCCCTTTCAAAGCAGATTTTATCTTTGGAAATAAAAAAAAGTCGCACGGTGCCAAATCTGGTGAGTACGGCGCGTGTTCGAGCACTGGAATGCGCTTACCGGCCAAATACTGTTCCACAGATAGCGCGTTATGGGCAGGTGCGTTGTCCTGGTGCAAAATCCACGAGTTGTTCTTCCAGAACTCGGGCCGTTTCTTACGAATTCGTTCTCGCAGTGTTGCTAAAACTGATAAATAGTAAGTCTGGTTGATAGTCTGACCTTCTGGAACCCATTCAGTCATCACGATACCGTTAATGTCAAAAAAAACGATCAACATTGCCTTGAATTTTGATTTGGACATCCTTGCTTTTTTGATTCTGGGCGATTCAGGCGTCTTCCAATGCATCGATTGCCACTTTGTTTCAACATCGTATTGAAAAATCCACGTTTCGTCGCAAGTAATAATGTTTTTCGTCAGTCCGGGATCTTCTTTTAACCTTTCAAGGAAATCTGAGCAAACCTGTTGACGCAAGAGCTTTTGGTCAGGAGTCAGGTTTTTTGGCACCAACTTCGCACAGACTTTTTTCATGTGTAATTCCTCATGTAAAATTTTTCTAACCGTTTTTTTATCGGCGTTTACAGCCTCGGAAATCATTCGGATGCTCTTTCGACGATCTGCACGCACAATTTGGTTGATTTTGGTCACTGTTTCCGGAGTTGAAACAGTGACAGGGCGGCCTGGGCGCTGGTCATCTTCAGTGCTCTCTCGGCCCTCACTAAAGCACTTACACCACTCAAAAACACGTGCACGAGATAGAGAATTGTCCCCATAGACCTCTTGCAACAATTTATAGCACTCAGTCGGAGTTTTTTTTAATTTAACGAGAAATTTGAGATTGATACGTTGCTCCTGTTTTTCGTCACACATGGTTTTCGGCACGAGAAAAAAACACGTTCGTTTCTAACCGCTACTGCACAAATACTATAATAGTGACGAAAACGTGTTTTGGCACGTGCATAGATAAGATATCTAGATACCCAACGCACTAATCGTTTTTTTTCCCCACCCGTCTACGGCCCCTATAGGCGGGCAGTCTCGTTATTTAATAGCAAAACATACTTATTATGTAAAATGGAGGGATAATCGAGTCACGGATAATCGAGGTTCTACTGTACTTCATCATTTTCTCTTACAGATTTTTTTGACCAGCTGCATGATATATCAGTTACAGATATATTATTATGACCATGTAAAAGAAGTGAAACCATATGATGGCATTTTGTCAAACCTGTCGGACATATACAGCTGGCATGTTCAATATTTTTATCTTTGAAAAATATCTGTAAAGATTAAATATTACAATAATTTTAGGAATCATATTATAAATGATACAATCAAAATTACAAAGTTATTTACCTTAACATCATACAATTTATTTTTCATACTTGCGTGCACTTGACCACTAAGTATACCTACATCAGGTATGTAATTAAAACTTTTGACATACCCACATTCAAAAGAATTTTCTCCTTTGGAAAATATTTTTTTATCATCAATAAAATTAATGATGCACGAAAGCTTGATGATGCTGTTTGACGTCATATTTTTTAACTGGAAAAAAATCATTTTCCTACATTAGTAAATTGATTAATGAAGAATAATATATATTATACTCACTTCAAAAAGGAAATCTGACACTTTATTTGCTCACTAAAGACTGCCGAAACAAAGCTTAGGGCAAGCAAATGGATCAAAAAGAAAAAACAACAAATTATTATATAATATATAAGTTTAGTAATAAAACATACTTATTATGTAAAATGGAGGTAAAATAGTACATACTTCTATGTAAAAATTGCAATAGTAAAAAATATTAATAATACTTAACTGATTTGTGTATAATCCATAGAGTATGTGGTATAATGTGTGTGCCATAGAAATACAAAGTACTACACTTTGATTATATTGACGAAAAAAGCGTTTAGCTTCATATTTTTGGTCGGTATATATGTATAAACTTGTAAAGAACATGTTTTTAATAGTTAGAACTTTAAGAAAAAAAATACAAATGCACTTAAAACCAATTTTTTTCAAACATGTTTTTCGACCCATGTATTTCTTATGGAATGAACTGTGATAACAGCTTGTTTTGAACCGTCGGTCTTATCAATAGACAATGTGACGTCACACTATTTGTGTCTATTGTGTAACAGATCAGCTGACGACGGTGCCGCCGTTGCGTACCAAAAATAGTGGTACTGGGTCAACGACCTCGGCGGTGGCTGTTGTCGGCTGCGGCGGCTGAACCGGTTTTGGGCCTGCGCGCTCTGTTGTTATCGGCGATAGTGCCGCGGGACGAAAGGTAAGCGTTGGGCGGGGTGGCGGTACGTTATGTAATCGCTTCCTACAGCCGTTTCACGTTTATTCTCGGTTCGCGCGCATTTCCCCTTTACTTACTAAAATATTTGTTACGTAATTTAACATGGGAATCCTAACTAAAGTGAAGACACACTCCTGGTTAAATATCTTAATACTAAAGTTATAATAAAAGCAATTAATCAGAGGTATGTGTCAGCTTGAAAAATTCTTACCTCTTCGCTGACTTGAGGTGATTCCTCTGCGGGGAGCCAATTTGACGCGGCTTCGGTGGTGACGTGGAAAGGTCGCGCTAAGCCGGTCGTTGAAGTGGTGGTGAGAACTGAGAAGGTGACACTTATATGAATGATTAAACACAAGTTTTTGGTTTGGTAATTTTGATTGAAATCACTTTATTGGCGAAACACGGTCGAACAGATGATGATGACACCGTGTGTCCGGATATTAATTATCAATAACAATTTATAATTTTCGGTATGTCCTGAGGACGGCCGTTACAATAGTTGACGTTCGGGTAAATCGTGGTTAACCGTGCGACAGTCAAGGTGCTGCGGTACGTGCACGTGAAGTCGGTACGACGGTCGTAGAACGAGAGAGCGACCTGCCGGCGGCCGGTACTCGTCTTGCGCGACTTGCCTTCCCGTCCCACCTTGTGCCTTTGTGGCGTGGTGGGAGAGTTGGCGATGTCGCGCTGTAGCCCGTGGTAGCGGTTGACAGAAGCGTAGACCGGCCGCTGCGGTACCTGTACTTTGTACTGGTTGCCTCTGCGTACCGTGTCATACTAATAACTATACCATTCACGTCGGGAAGATTTCGATACGCCGACGAACAATTAACACAACATTCCGATCTATACTACGAAAATCGGGGACCTTTGAAACTAATTACATCTCAATGGGACTTAACTGCGTATATTAATTTTGCTAAATACAAAGAAAGATTCATTTATATTGACGATGTTATGAACAAAACCGAATCAATATGTGTAAGTATCAAAAATAACGTTGATAACAATTGTAACAATTTAATGCACATAGCTAGTACTATAGTAAACGATTTACGAAAAAAGAAGGAACTAGTATTAGACTCTATAGAACACACAGTATCTAAAAGAAGTACGTTAGGAATGTTAACAAAAGCAGCCAGATTAATATACGGAATATGTAATCTGGAATGCATTAGAAAATTTAATTTCAATATAGGACAAACGCATGACGCGCCGCAAACAAAGTTAGTTAAAGAACAAATAAAAATAGTTAAGTTACAAAACAAGTTTGATGAACACGAAAACTATAATATGACCTTTTTAATAAACGAAAATAGTAACGTATCTAAGGACCAACAAACAAAAAATTATTTAACGAAACATTTTCTGATTATAAATTTATTAATAATGAAGCATATAGTAGAAACCAATACCTTATTGGAAATAATACAACAAGCGAAAATAGGAATTATCCATACCAGTTTAATATCTCTACGGGAACTTTTAGAACATATTAAAGACATTAAAGTATCATTACCTGGGGGCACCGACTTACCCACCGATATAGATATACAAAATATCTATGAATTGGTAAAGCTCTCAGACCTTACTATATATTATGCTAATGACAACTTAGTTTTTATACTAACTTTACCGTTAATCTATCAAAATGATTTTATTTTATATAATTTAATACCTGTGCCAGTATGCACTGGAAATGATTGTCTTTATGTTAAACCTAGTAATAAGTATCTAGCTATAAGTAAAACTAAGGAACACTATGCCATGTACGATGAATTTTACTATACCCATTGTAAGCATGCTAGAGACTTCCTTTTATGTCCTGAAGGTAATCCTTTATACCCACATACAAGTAGACTAGTATGCGAAGTACAACTTTTGCAGGATCCAATAAAAGTTCCATCAACTTGTGAAGTAATGCACGTTCAAATCGGAACATCCATATTCCATAAGAAACGATTTAAGAACGAGTGGATATACGTAACTAATTATGATGTAGTATTTATTACATGCGATGAAGACAAGGAATCCACAAGTCACACACTAAGGGGAGAAGGCATTTTGCGACTCAACGAAACTTGCAAAGGATACGCCGCAAGAGACGTACTTATACCAGGAAAAGTCGACTACAAATCTGAATATATGGATTTCAACCCAAAGTCAACTATAGAACGTATTAAGGATATGCCGTACACCGACAACAATAACTTGATGGAAGATTACCATGTAAAAACAAATAACATGGATGACCTACATACCGTGTCAATTTCAAGGAAACAACTAGAAACACAACGTAAGGTCGATCACAAGATAAACGAACTAAAGAATACACAGCAAGTAAACGACTAGGTACGTACTTTACGTAATCACAAGTATCACTTTTATGGCAATTATCATTATATGTTTATCCAAATACAATATATTAAAATGTTACGAAAAAGTAAACACGGAAGAGGAACCAACCCAAGATGAAGAAAGTGAAAGCTTAGCTACAGCACCTAGAGCAGTCGACATAGTCGAATATCCTCTTACGCCTAGGAATAGCCCAATAAGCTATCCAAGTACAAGACATTTTAACTTCAATTAAAACTTTTCCGGAAGTCAGGGACTTCCAGCTTCGAGGGGAGGAGTGTAGTAAACCGACAGAGTCGCTTTCCTATAATTATACATCATAAAGACTTTGCACTATATGATATATTGATCAACAACTATAACATGCCCTGAGGTTTATTACATACTTCAAGAACACCATTGGAAATCGCATAACGATTTCTAATAATACATATTGCCAAATAAACCAGTTCGCAACTCAAGGTTTATTCGACAACTTTAACATTTACGTCGGTACCTTTCAAACCGCCGGTATTCCTTTGATCCACCTCCTAGTCTCTACCGTGTACCTAATAGCCAAGGGAGACTTTGTATATATACGAGTCTCCGTCTGTACCTAAATTAGAATTAGCTCAGTGCTAGTACGACGTACACACTTGTAAGTACTTAGTATTAACCACTAATTTCTCGGGCAGACGCTTATCGCTCTGTCCTAAAATTTCTATATTCAAATGTAATACCATTATATTATTATTAACTTTAAAATAAATTACTTAAATTATAACGTTGTAACTTTTTACTCAGCAACCTTTTCTCCTACTCAATCATCAACGTCTTCGAACTCAAAATATAAGCGTTAGTGAGGGATCACTACACAACCACCCACTCCAAAGGACTCGATCATATAAATACCAGCCCGGGACAAGAGCTCGGCAGACGGTTAGGGACACACAAGACGCTTAGAGGCAGGTCGTAACACCACTCACAGTCTTAGATTTTACAATAGAGTCGTAACACCACTCTCTCCTTTACCATAGATTATAATATTGTTATTTTGTACTTAGTTAAATAAACACTTCTCATAACCTAGTACATCAGTTATTCATTCCTGCGTTGATGTATATACGACCTCAGTTGGGACGTAACAGAAATTGCCCTGTTAAAATTGTTAAAATTGCTACACACATATGCAACCATAATTTTTTTGTTTACTTAGGATAGTCTATTATATAACTTGGGTCTCTAGTATTTTCTAATATTTCTTTTAATTTCTTACATTCTCCATTAAAGTGAACATTTATGAAAAGTTCGAGGTTTCTGGTTATTTTATTTAAAGTTTTATGACTGTAACGGTTATTTAATCTTTTGTTTGCTTTCAATATGTGCCAATTAAAACATACTGACTGCATCTTATTTTCCTTATGGTTATAAATATGTACTTCTGTTTTTAATATGGTTTTTAATTCCTCAATGAATCTAAAATAATATAATAAGTGTTAAATTATGTATTTTATTTTCACCGTAAATTTATTATAATTTATTTTCTCTTAAACTTATTTATTTTATTTCTACATTAACTATAATAATTTATTTATTTTGCTTATAATTTCTTTTATATTTTCTCGCTAATTTATATAAATATATGGATTTTATTTTTGAAACTACATAATCGAATAGACATTTTGTTAAGATTACGTCGGCAATTGGGTCATGACAATGCGTAATATTATGATTAGTATCGCATATTAATCCATGTGCTTCTGATAATCCTAACATTCTACCGCTTTTATTTAATTTTCCTAAATACCCTGAATATAGAACTTCTTTAGTTTCTAAATTTGTTAGTTCTAAAATAAATTCATCATTATTCCTAACACTATATGCTGAT